GAATTGTAGGCAACTAAACGAAAAAGTCGTATACAAAGCTTGACTAAAAAATGACGAATATTGATAGAGTTATTACGTTGGAAATTATGCTCAAAGACTGTGGTTAAAGGAAGCTTCTTCGGCACCTAAGGTGTAAAATAGTGTCGGTCTTTAACACGTTTCGATAACATATTCAAAATTCGGACCTTTGCATGTTCAGATTTCAAAGACTTACATGTTTTGGGACGTCTAGTTGGGGCTCTAGGGCTCTAGCTGGAACAGTTTCATTTCTGACCTTCTCACTGACAGTAACTTGATCGCTACAATGTACACTCTTCTCCGAAATGACAGGAATTCGATGAAATGGCCTTGTCTCACAATCAGACAATCGCAAAATACTTTTGGGGAAAACTGAATTTTTAAAACTTCCGGGGCGGACGCTCCTATTGGGCGATGTGGGTGGACCCCGCCCTATCTGGCCGCACCCCTACTGGCAGCTCTAATGAGAGTTCTCCCCGGAAGTGCTAGAAATTCAGTTTCCTCCCGAAGTATTTTGCTATTGTTTGAGGTCGTAAATGTATTAGGTTGGCACATAAGTAATGCAACTTTTTATATAACTTTTGTGTATTTGAACGTAGCACATTCATTTTTTGGCAATATAAAGAATAGGATGTAAGCTTCTAATGCACACATTTTTGCCGAACTTTACCATCTTATGTGAGGATTGCGGTAGGTTCACGGTACTGTGGAAAAAATTCTAGAATGCATCAGATTTTGCTGAAACTTGGCCTATAGGGCTTATTTGACATGCTAATTACAGAGATCCGTTTCGCATGAAAAAGCCTCGTTCGTGGGATCAAAAGATGAATTTCATTTTAGCGACAAATGAATATGATATTCGTGTTTACCGCATAGGATTACCCTATAGTGCAAAGTTATAGCGAATTCTGACTTTTCGCAGCTTAGTTACCGACAAATTGCCTTCAAAATTTGACGCATTTGACTTGTTCAACTTCTCAAAGGCGCCCCACCTTAATTTGTGTTTAAATTTCATTTCTTTTTCACTAATTCCAATGTGCCGACTTCCATCTACACGCTGCCTATAATTGATTTTTTCATATGTTTGAATCAGGTTTCGTAAGGCTTCATGTTTGCCAAAAAATCGTGAAACCTCGATTTTCAGCAGTTTTCAAAAAATGCTTAGATTTTTTGTACTACGTTATCAAAAATCAAACGGTTTGCGCAGACTTGCAGCTTACATCACGGTCTACATGATATCACAAAATGAGATTGCTACAAAAATAGGAAAGAAGTTACAGGAAAAGTTGCAAAACTTATGTGCCAACCTAATATTAAGACGCATGGGGTGCAGTTCGCAACAATGATAATCGCTTTCGCACAGGGTTGGCGTGCGTTTGACTTTTGACAGCCGCCTTCTTTCCGGCACTGGATCGAATAATGTAGTACAAATAAGAAAAAGGTAAAGATGGAGATGTGTATAATAACTATACAGCCAAGGGTCAAGACAGGAGGCGAAGTCTGCATATTGATGTAAATTTTGAATCTGCTCTTGTTGCTATGATAGGATTACTGTCTCTCATCAATTTCTCCTAGTCAGTAGATGTCACCTATTTATTAGATTACTAAAAAATAAGTTCAGTTGTTTTAACGGTTTGTAGAAAATTTACAAATCAATTTTTGTAAGAATGTAATACCACTGGAAGGAGCAAATCAAAGAAAACTGGATAGTCAACTCTATTTCAGCGCCAAACATCATTTTGACAACGAATTTGTAAAGAGAAATTGAATAGTTATATTAGGTTGGCTAATAAATAAGTTCGGTCGCTTCCAGCTCTTACAAGTGCTGTAGACAAATTTTTGTCCAATGTTTGGTATTTCTGAAAAGAGCACTTCAATGGGTATTGGAGCATATATTCTGGTTGAGTAAAACTTATCTTCCCAGGAAAAAAATCCGCAAAGAAGTGAAAAATCGCAATTTTCCCATAATGCGCAAATATGAGGAAATTTGGTTTCCTTAGTTAAGCATTTTCAAAATGACAGATCACAGCTCTTTTTGTTGTTTACTAAATAGGAAACACTCCTCTGTATCCGAACACCAAACTGCTGTTCTTTACATCCGTTACATCATGAAAACGAAGCTCAAGAAGTCAAAGAATTAAGCTTTTGGAAATTTCGCTATGTTGAGGCATAACTGCCCTTACGGATGATAGAAAATCCTGATTATTTGGTATATGTTAGAGGAAGCTTCGAACTACTTTTCCACAAAGAATCATGGATTGAAAACAACAAGAAAATTTTTTATAACAATTTGTGTGCCAAAACGAACTTATTATTTAGCCAAGCTAATATTTTTTCATCGAATTTTTAGATGATTATGCTCCGTAAAACGGGCTGATTTTGAGTGTGAAATGCACACCTGGAATTTGCACAACAAATTCTGAAAATTCCAACAATTTGCACAACCATGGATGGTCAAATACAAGCAACCATGATTGCCCAAAAACAGATTTTTACGCGCAAATGCCTAGAAATTCCCATTTTGACTGCAGAAGTTCGCAAAGAGCAGGTTACAATCTCCATTGAAGTTTGCCCTGTAGCCAAAGACTGGTATATCTAAATACCAGATAAGTCGTCTTTGCATTCACTATAGGGTCAGAACGAAAGTTAGAGATTTGAAAAAGCAATTTTTTAGAGGTCTGATCGTATAAGATCATAACTGCCACTTTCTGGTGAAAGGAAAATTTGACTATATTTGATTCGTTGACCGCACGGACTGGAGATCACAGCGGAGCACGCGCCGAAATGTAAAACGTTTGCTTAAATTCGCCGTTGTACAATTCGTGCTCTCGCGACAATTCAGCCGCGCCATGAGTGGTCCGCAGTCTTTTAGCAGTCCATGCGGTCAACGAACCGATGATACATGATATTAGGTCGTTCCGAAAGTAATGTCGCATTTTTCAAATGGACGCCACATTTCGCGGAACCAAGATTTTCGAGAGCTCTTGGGATCAATCGATGCAGCATTTCGTCCTCTTTCTAATGGTTGTACTTTCATTGCATTATATTCAATGAGCTCTCAAAAAAATTACCAAAAGCTGCGACTCATGCTTTTTGTCATGGTCAAGTTCGGCTATTTTTCTATATTTTTGTACCCATTCCCCGAAGATGTACAAGTAACAGATAAACAGAGCAAACCCTATAGGCCACAAAACAATTTTTCTCTTTTCCTTAGTTTGCTTCTTAGGGCCGCATGCACTAACATCCTCGCGGGGAGGGGATCGCAGCTTAAAAGAAAGCTTTATATTTCGAAACTCCGGATACCTGGATTTCACGTTGTGTACCTATCCGTAAGTATTCCTACTACCCTTCACTATGAACATGTTGAAGAGGAGCGAGAAGGTGTACGAACCGCATTTTCCAGCTTTTGTGTGATCCCTGATGATCCCCGGCGCTTTTCTTTAAAGTCATTTTTCTTTCTCCGAAGTTAACAAAACTCTTCCAAAGTTTACTGAACATCTAACACAACAGTGCTAAGCATGTTGCTGATGAGAACAAATGAGCTTTTGAAAAGTCGAATTTTTCGGTAAACCTCAAATTGCGACCTATGGATCATCGAAAATTTCATGACTTCAAAACATCATTTGTTCTTATCAGCAACATGCTTAGCACTATTGTGTTAAATGTTCAGTACCTTTGGAAGGTTTTCGTTAACTTCGGAGAAAGAAAAATGGCTTTGAAGAAAAGCGCCGGGGATCATCAGGGACCATACAAAAGCTGGAAAACGCGGTTCGTACAGCTTCTTGCTCCTCTTCAACATGTTCATAGTGAAGGGTAGTAGGAATACTTACGGATAGGTACACAACGTGAAATCCAGGTATCTGGAGTTTCGAAATATAAAGCTTTCTTTTAAGCTGCGATCCCCTCCCCGCGAGGATGTTAGTGCATGCGGGTTTGTAGAGTTTGTAGAATTAATTTTTTAGTGGTATCAAACTCCATATTTGGACAACTCAAACCTCACAGAACAACAACCGGCAAGCAACTCGGGTGTCATTCGACGCAGCTTTTTCTCCTCTTTTTACCAGTTGTTTTTGGTTTCCGATTCATAAAGTTTGCCCGGAAAAATCATCATAATTCAGGTTTTCCAGGGCACCCAAGGCTGTACCCGAAATTACCGAAAGTTGCTAATCTGAAGCGATAAATGCTCATATACTTTGTAAAATTAGTGTTAAACCATAATCCACCTTTGTAAGTTTCAGAATCCGAAAGTTTATTGGTGTTTGATGCATATTTGTTTGAGATGAGCCTGTAAAAATTCGGTGACTTCATTGAAAAATCTCTACAAAAATTATGACAAGATACGGAAAGCAGAAAAAAAGTGGTACCGTTTCCTATAGGGTTTGCTCTATCCATCCATTACTTGGACTCCTTCCGGGAGTTATTACAAAAGGTTAGAAAAATTGTGAAACTTGACCTTCCCAAAAAGCATGGGTTGGAGATTTTAGTAATTTTTCAAAAGCTCATTGAGTATTCTGCAGTAAGGTTATAGCCATTAGAAAGAGGATGAAATGATGCATCGAATGCTACCAAGATCTCCTAGAAACCTTGCTTCCACGAAATGTAGCGTTCACATGAAAAAAGCGACATTACTTTTGGAACGATTTAATATCTGAGAGTAGAGCTTTGAAGCTACCTTCCTCGCAAAAAAAAAAACTCAGCTAAACAGCTGCTAATCGAATTGTTTCGAAATTTCGAATTTGCATGTCAAACGGAATTTATTTGTTAGTCAACCTAATATTTGGTATTTTTATTCCATTGCAAAATTGGAATGTGAAGTTGATTTTGTCCCACCTAATTTGCCCTACTCCGGCTAGAAAATAAAAGCGAGGTCGTAGTAAATAAGACGATTAGATATGGCCAATTATAATCCAAGAGCAGAAGTCGTCTATCCAAGAATAGCTCGAGCTGATAAATGTGTTCGCGGAAGAGGAGAGCTGACTCACCCCGGCAACGCTTGCATGTTGCTCCGCAATGAACACACACTCATCATACTTTCAGAAGATACGCTGTTCATCAAACCATACCCCGATTTTCTTCTCGCTGACATTGGCGCAGGTGGCATCTGGTCGATTAGATGCATATCGACCATGGATCGTAGTTGTCTGCAATTGCACAACTTCTACAAGAATTATGACACTGATTCGAGGCGCTCTCACCGTACTCTCGCCTTCTCCCTTCTCTGGAACTCGAGATCACGTTCCAGCACTGGACGGATTATAGCCTGTTCCTGGGGGCTTAATCCCTTCAGTTGCTCGAAGATTTCTTCGACAACTTCGACTGACATTACAGCTAAACGGTTTACATAGTAATAAGAAGACCTTCACAATGAAGGACACATGCACTACGACAATCTTTATAATGGATAGATGTACAAGAAAGATAAGGAGCAGGAAGCTCATGCACAAAGTTCTGACGTCAAACACTTTCTTTGAAAGGTCGAAATAGCAATGGAGAACACTTTGCTTGCTCCAAGCAAAAAACTGAACTTCGCTAAAAGAACAAAATGATGTGAGTAAAGAAGTAAAAGTTCGCATTCAATTTATGACAATCCAATAGCTATTTTTTAAAAAATAGCGCACATAAAACAAGTTCGCGACTAATTCCCAATTAGTCAACAGTCCTGAATGATATTAATTTCAAAATTGTAATTGGTTTCGAGAAGTGAAAATGGCTAATTCTGCTTTCATCATAGCGGATCCATGAGGTGAATCAATATGTCAACAGGTTATTTGGGGATGTTTTGCGTTTACTCACCTGCTCATAGTCCTTCATAACCCTGATAGTGGAAAAAATCTCTTTATAAAAAGAGCTATTCACAATTTTCAGGTAGAAAATTTGAGAATCATACTGAACATTTTTGCCAAACCCATCATATCTCAAAAGAAGTAGCACATAGAAATCTGGAGTGATTTTTGAAATTTTTCCCAGTAAGAGCTACTATGGAAAGTTTATTTCAAATGAGAAACCAAATATAATTTTGCAGTTTATTGCTGCTCCAGACAAAAAAAACGGAAACGATCTTAAGGTGTTGATTACTGGTTTTTTCATTCAGGATGGTAACATTGGTAAAACTATTGGAAAAGTTTTGTTCGATCCCAAACAATTTCTAAAAAATAAATAGCCCCATCGAGCCTCGCCACGTAAATAATCAATATGCAGATAAAAGATCTACTTAGCTTATCAGCATCGATGTAAGCCGTTTCTTATCCTTCTTATATAATCTGTGTGGGATTAGACTCGAACTGGTGACATGATGTTTGCTTTCGTTCACTTCTTTGTTCATTTCACTATATTAGTTCCTCTTTTGTCTTGTTTTTATAGAACTCCTTGAGCGTAAAAATGAAAATGGAAATGAAATTCAAAAGCGTCATAAAGTGGTAGCGTAAATTGCTACCTACCAGTGGCGTACCCAGGATTTCCGCTCGGGGGGGGGGGGCGACAAAAATTTTTTTCGAATGAAGGTGCGTGGCGTTCGCCACGCACTCCGAAAAAATTTTAGGGGTACTTCTCAAAATTTTTGCGGGTCCCTAACCCCTGAAATCTGGAAAAAGGGGGCGTGGCCTCAGCCACGCCCCCGAAAAAATTTTTTTTTACAGGGCTAATTTGAATTTTTAAAAATTTTTAAAAATTAATTAAAAAAAATAAAAATTTAAATTAAAAAAAAATTAATTCCCCCACAATGGTCGGTCGCCTCATCGTGGCGTGGGGGTGACACTGGGTGTCGAACTGCGATGCACAGCCGAGTGTATACTCTGGTAGGGCCTCCCAAGCTGTGAAGGAGTTCGACGTTTCCGGTTTCGGCCGGATGCCTAGCTAAGAACTGGCCGCGCCAGATTCTCCGCCGTCTGGCTTCTTCTGGTCGCTAGGCGGTCCCTCCCCGCTCCAAGCCCGGGGTCAGCGATCACCCCGTGGAAATCAAGAGTAGGCCTAGTAAGCCACCTCTTGTAGGGGAACAAATTTTATTACTCAGACAGCAAGAAGATTTAGAAAAAACCCTGTACATCGGATCCCGCCTACGGCGCCGGGTGGTAGCAAGAACGATGTCAGGGTACTCAGGGCGCCTTTCGGATTGGACAAAAGCGACACGTCTGCCCGGACGACACGCCATGGAGACTGCCTCATGCTCTGCACTTACAACGCCAGGACAGTCTCCACAAACGCCGACCTCCACGCTCTTCTCGACGCTGCAGAGCACATCAACTACCACATCATTGCTCTGCAGGAAACGAAGTCCAGGAAGAAGGACGTGCGACAGATGAGTGATGGGACCCTCATCATTCGTGGTGAAAAGGTTCCATCACGAAACGTGGGAGGCGTCGGCTTTGTCGTCCACCCATCTATCGTCCATCTTGTCGATTCGCACGAGATCCTATCACCTCGACTAGGCATCCTACGACTACGACCTCCACATCAGAAGACCATCAGCATCATCAACTGCTATTCTCCAACATCAGCAGCTGACGAATCAGAACTAGATGCTTTCTACGAAGATGTGGAGGAGGTCGTCCGCAACGAGAAGTCCTTTTACAAGTTTGTTGTGGGCGACTTCAACGCGAAAATCGGGATGCCACTGGAAAGGGAATATAGGATCGGGAAGTTTGGATATGGGCTCCGGAACGAAAACGGCAACCCTTTTGTTGGGCTTCTCTCCGCCGCACGACTTTTCCATGGAAATTCCATCTTTATGAAGAAGGAACATCGCCGGTGGACATGGGAATCGCCCAACGGAACGACCCACGCGGAGATCGACCACATTCTCACCAACCGAAGGTGGAGCTTACTCGATGTCTCTGTAGTTCCATCCTTCTGTAGTGGCTCCGATCACCGCCTCCTTCGAGCGAAGATACGACTCAGCCGAAGGCTGGAAAAGAAAGTCTGTCATAGTGCCGCGAGAAGGAAGGAAGTCGTTTATGACGGTAACAGGCTGGAAGAGCTCATATCAAGTTGTGACTGGCCCATCGAAGAGGACCCAACGTACGACTACGACCGGCTTCTGAAAGGATTGCGAGCCTGCGGAGAATGCGCCTCAGTGACTTCTGAGAAGAACTTGGACCGCATCTCGAAGACCACCAAGGAATTGCTCGAAAGAAGAAGATCATTGAGGCAGGATCCGAATGCAACTCATCTCGAGCGACTGATTGCCAACACCAGTTGCAGAACAGCTTTGCAAGAGGATCTCAGGAAGTACAGGCAAGCCAAGATACTGGAAGCAGCAGAAAGAAGACGAAGTCTCAAGAAGTGCCGAAGGGACCTCTGCGAATATCACGTACCGCTGGCTGCACTACTGAACGAAGACGGGACTCCGACTTCTTCCCGATACAAGATGGAATCTATCGCGAAGAACTTCTACACCAACCTCTTCCGCTCATCAACACCCGTGCAGATGCCCGTTGTTCCCACTGGAGAAGTACCACCACGAATTCTACCTGCTGAAGTGCGTATCGCGATACAGACCATGAAGACGTCCACGGCTCCAGGACCAGATCATCTTTCCGTCGAACTTCTGCGAGCCGGAGGACACCGTCTACACGAGATTCTAGCGTCGCATTTGACATCTTACCTTCAGAAGGAGAAGATTCCCGACCAGTGGAGAACGTCAAGAACCGTCCTTCTCTTCAAGAAGGGTGAACGGGAGGATCTTCGGAACTATCGTCCAATATGCTTGCTGAGTGTGCTGTACAAGCTTTTCACGAAGATTATCCTCGCTCGCATATCAAGGACACTGGATGAAGCCCAACCCCAAGAACAAGCTGGATTTCGCAAAGGATTCAGCTGCATGGACCACATCCAGACCGTTTCGAGGGTCATAGAAGTCTGCCGGGAGTACCGACTGCCTCTCGTCCTAACCTTTGTCGACTACGAGAAAGCCTTCGACAGCGTCGAAACCAACGCCATCCTGTCTGCGCTAGTCGATCAAGGAGTGGACCCAGCTTACGTGAGGACGTTAGCCGACTGCTACAAGGACTGTACAACGACGATGCAGCTATTCCATCGCCCCCTGACCATACCAATCGGGAAGGGGGTCCGACAAGGCGACACAATCTCGCCGAAGCTGTTCACCGCGGCCTTGCAGTGGGTGATGAAGTCACTGGACTGGGACGAGAGAGGCATACGAGTTGATGGGAGATTCCTGTCCAACCTTCGTTTTGCGGACGACATCGTTCTCTTCTCGAGCAGTATCACCGAAGCAGAGACGATGCTGAAGGAACTAAACGAAGTAGGGAAGAAGATCGGACTGCGAATAAATCGGAAGAAGACTCAGTTCATGAAGAACGCCCTTTGCGAAGATGCAGAAATGGAATTGGAAGGCACCCCGATTATGGAGACGTCTTCTTACGTGTATCTCGGACGTTCGATGAACATGGAGAACGACTTGAGGGAAGAACTCAACAGGAGAAGAAGAGCAGCCTGGGCCGCCTTCGGGCCCCTGAAGGAAGCCACCGACCAACTGACGGACCCGGAGCTTCGTGCCCACCTGTTCGACTCAACCGTTCTCCCGGCGCTCTGTTACGCAGCTGAGACTTGGGCCGACACTGTAGCCACGTCGAAAGCTCTACGGACCACCCACAGAGCGCTCGAGCGCAGTCTTCTGAAGATGACCCGACGCAAGCAACATCTAGTCGGACTTCGCAGCACGGATATGAGAAGAATGTCCCGTCTTCGTGACCCAGCGGAATACGTCGCGAAAGCCAAACACCGATGGGCCGGTCACATAATGAGAAGAACAGACGACAGATGGACACTAAGAACATCGGAGTGGATTCCTCGCGAAGCCAAACGTCCCCGAGGAAGACCTCCAACGAGATGGGCAGACGTGTCCGTGGAACGGATGGACCAGCTGAGAAATCAGCTGGATACGATTTTTGCACCTGGAACTCGTGGACGCAGCCACCGACGTCAGCCAAGAAGATCGTGGATGTCAGAAGCGAGGGACAGGGAAAAATGGAAACTTCTGAGCTGGGGCCCGCACGTCACGTGAAGCCGGGCCATCTAAGTATCTAAGTAAGTAAGTTTTAAAAATTAATTTAATTATTTACAAGTATTAACAAGTCATTTGCACATTTTTATAACCCATATAGGTAACTTTTAAAGATTTCGCGACCCATTCTCGGGAGGGGGGGGGGGGGGGCCCCCTCGGTACGCCACTGGTACCTACCAAAATTTAAATGCTATTGGTTAGTGGCTCCTTCTCTTATAAAAGTACCCATTTTTATGTTTAAGCTAGTTCACGTAAGGAACTTCTTTTTCTGCTTGCGTCTAAAGCATTTGTCTTGGTGGTTTTTTATTCTTCATTTTTACTCTCAAAAAAAGTAAGAATTTTCTAGGGAAGAGTAGAAATCTGTAATTTGTCAACTTCGATTTGAGAGACCCTCCTACATCGTATAAGTAAAAATGCGATGGCACTTTGCAGCCGAAATTATTTCCAAAGAATGCAGGGAGAAACCGAAGTCTTTGTTGAATCTAATGTAGTATATATACAATCGTTAGTTCAATTCAAAAATCTTTTAATAGCGGGAAACCGAGGACGGTCCCAGCGCGCGGATGCAATCTAGCACCTTTAATTACTGGTTCACTAGTTTGCTGTATCGAAACGCTTTCAAGAGGAAAATTTTCGCTAATTCAGAATTTGTTCTTGTTTGTAGAGAGGTAGTCGAAATGTTCGAAAGAAATAAAGTCGTCGATAACCTCGCAAGCTTGGAGGTATGATGGAAATCTCATCAAGTACTGTCAGCAAAGAATCATGATCAGGAGAAGAATAGTGAAGAAGACATATCAGGCAATGCATTCCATCTCATCTAAACGCATGCTTTGCTTCGTACACGCACACTCCGGAAGTGAAAGATCCAGAATGCAGACAAACACATCAACGCCACCACATCAGCAAAACTGTCACGACATGAGGGCTTTACATAATGTAATTACACAGCTTACACGGTGGGAGTGACTTGGATCTCTTCGACATCTTGCTTGAAAGTACTGGGTTTCAAAATTAGTGACTAAGGCTTTGAGCTAAGCTAGAAAAATGTCTAAAAAAATCGATACCTCTGGCAAACTATCAGCTGTTTATCCTTTTCTCAAATTTTATACAGGTGGTTGCAATCTTGATCCACTCCGACTACCCTTCCTGCAAAAAAAATTACTTATATCAAATAAAGTGACTATACACATCTTATTGTGCAACCGAGCAAACTATAAATCAAAAATCAAACTATAAATAAAGCCTAAAGGAACGAACAAATGAGAGTTCGCAACTGATACATTATTTCGAATGCGCACGAAAGGAAGAGGAAAGTCATTGAGCAGAACATTTACGAAGCTAATGACAAGCAACTACTTGAATAAGCCGCTATTGAACTTTTTTTTGAGATTTGTCATTTGTATTGAGGAAGAGGTTTTTTAGGACAATTAGGAGATAGGCAAATTATGTCCAAAAAGAAAATGAGTCATAACATTAACAGAGTTTTGAATAATCGCACTGTTGCAGATGGTTTTGATTTCTATTTCGTTCGCTAGGTTCTAGCACTTGTAGATCTAACATCATTTTAGAGAAGCATTTTTGATCTTCCTGGCAAAGACTTTGCATTCTGGAAACTTCTTGTCATCGTTACTGACATTTCTTACTTTTACTTGGCTGGATGTTCATGCAAAAGTAATTATTAATTTTCTGAGCCTTTGAACTCTATCGGTTGCAAAAAAATGGACAAAGAATTCCAAAAAATATGTGATCCTACTTCAGAAATCTGTTTATTTTTTTTTTGTTTCAAGGAATAAGTTACGAGATGTTAGGGATGATATGGAATTGCTTTAAAACGAATTTAGGTTAAAACACATTTGTGCCTCTCAAAGTGAGAACTGACAACACCAAAAGCTAAATTAAGCCATTTTCCAACAATTGTGAAAATTGAGATGCAGCGGAAAAATAAAGTGTTATGATCTTCAGCGATCTTTAAGCGCAAAGTGATGGAAACCACTCTTAAGTCTTTGCTGGGTGTGACAGAAATCAAAAGTTCATGGTGAGAGCTCATGATCTAATTAGTCATCTGATCTTTTTCAGGTAATCTCGAATTTTTAGTGCTAGAAAAAATCTGCCAGATAAACATTTTTGAAGCAGAGGTAGAGGTTACGGATACGCCCCCATGAAACCGTGACTGGCTAGCAAGTTTACAAATGAAATATCTTAGTCAGGGCAAAAACTGTGAAAGAAAAAACTATATTTTACACAATTTTGACATGTAGCATTTATTCTCTGTTAATATCATAGCGGTTCATAATTTTTATAATTTTCGATCAGTCATGAAGCACTCATGGCATTTTCTCCAAATAGAATGAACTACGCGTACAATTTTTTCAGGACACTCGGAAAGTCAGGGGCAGTGTCTGGCACAGATCGTATGGAAACGAGCTGGACTTCGTTCTTGGGGCGAAAAAGCAAAGGGGATATCGTTTTTGTGGCTGAGAAGAAGCAAAAATTCCGACATTTTTTTTAGTTGTCGCTTCGTTTTTCAAAGGTTTTTTACAGATATGTTGAGGTGAAAGAGGACTTCGCAAACTCAGGAGAAAGTCAAGGGTCACTTCGTTTTGAAGCCTAGAAACCGAGTCATGCCGTGCCCTGGTCAGGAGTAAAATGGCTCTTATACTTTGCGATTCGCTTATTGATCTTACTTATTTAGGACTTTGATTTGGTAATTCTCGTGAGATCAAAGCACTACTTTTTGGTGCGTATATTTATCGTATAAAAGGATTATATAGCTTATCATGATGAAAAGAATGGAGAATGCGCGTGACAGACAAAAGCATAATGTGTAAGTACCAGTAGCAAAAACAAATGGCTTCAAGAACTAGAGACTGAGTGCACTCGGCTTACGTCCACGCAAATTAGTCAATTTTTAGCCTTAGTAATTTTGAACTTGATGGCCGCAATGCTCAAAATACGAATATTTTCGTTTAATCTCAAATCCGGCGATACGAAAATGAATTTTAGACTAAAGAAGACATCTATAACCTAGCTGTAGCGGGATGTGCAAGGCGAAAATGTAAATCGCCATTTTCTGCCGGCATTTATTTGGGTGGAACTTCAAATAGAAGAGGATTAGTCAAAGTTGAACTTGCAAAGATGGGCTACAATACGATGAAAAGAATAAACTTTCCTCTGCAAATGCCCTTCTAATAGAGGAAGTTCAGCAGAGCACGAATGGTCCTAAGTGGGCTGCACTGAATGCAACGTTGTTTGAGGGATGTCTCTGATTTGAGAGAATCAGTTGTCCAGGCGACCGCGGATTACATAGTACTAGTTGATATTCGTTATATTAAAGAAGATGCACATAGAAGCCTCATAGTGCGAAAAAAAAAGACAAAGAGATGAGTTAGTGAGCTTGAACGGAGAATAAGGGCAGTGGGAAGTCTTCGATAGATTGGCCAGCTTTAAAAAAAGTACAGTCTGGGTAAACTCTGAGGTTCAGTTTCTCGGCCAGGAATGATTAGTAGCACTACCCCTTGAGTAAACTAATGAAAGCCTCTCAATCAGTACCTGTCAGGGTACCCATAATCAGCTGAATGTACACCTGAGAGTTGTTCGATTGAACTTCAGCGGAAGAAACAAAGTGGGTGAATCACAGTATTCTTACCTAGTGGTCCTTGGATCTTCACGTTCACTTGGAAAACCAGAAACCTGAACAACATTTGGCAGTTTGCCAGCTAGCGGGAAATTGTGGCACGCAGTCATACCGAGGAAGAAGTGGAGAAAGCTGAGTGTTGAGCTACAGATTTGAAGCTTTGATGGATTTGGATAAGGCTTAAATCGGTAGGACACACACTCTGTCTGAATCGCAAGGTGAGATGTTATTTGGCTTACAGTGGAAATCCTCAAATTCTTCGTGTATTTGCGAAAACTACCGAAGGCATAAGCGCACATACATGCTTCATTTGAATTTGCGATTGCGTTCAAATATTTTGAGTTTTGAATTTGTACCTCTACAATTTGATCAGAGCTAAAAAAGCCTTAGCAAGTGTTCCCATTCAATTTCTTTATGTCACTGCCTACAATCCTATTTGTGAAACGTACTCACAAAGCGCAAAATGTAAATGACGCAGCAACAATATTTGTATCGTATTAGGCTGTCATAATTTCTGTTACACTTTTTATTTTGATTCTAAAAATCTCAGAAGTTTTGGAAAGATTTTATGTTCACAGCGCATGGGCAGGGACAGAACGCCTACTCATCGATACTGTCGCTTCCGTGACCCATGCGCAGAAACCCACTTTGTGGCTAAAAATCCGTTTTATTCTCATTTTTGTAAATGAACTGGCATTCTTTCAGGTAATGAGCGCGAAATCAAACAATGTGGTATCCAAGTAGGGCATGGCATAGTCTGTAGTTTAGCAAATATGGGAGGATACACAAACACGTCTACACACGTTATTTGAGCGACTTAACCCATTGACGACGATGTGGACCACCGGTGGCCCACATCTCTTGCAAAGTCATGTTATTTGTAGGCCTGGTATTTCTTCCACACATTGATGTTTTTTCCAAGTTCTTGCACTGTTGGGACCTATAGGCTCCGTCGTTTAAGAAAATATTTATAGTTGTTTACAAAACAATCTTGCGCTTGGTAATAACCAATGAACCTTCCCACATCGAAAGTGTTCTGCAGAATCGCGTCTCCCACAGCGCACCTACGCGAAATTAGGGTCGTCGTCAATGGCTTAAATATCAGTGTGCGCCATCTTTGCAATCATCGACGTCAAAAAAAAATTTAAAAAAACATTTATAAGCTTTCTGTATTCATTTCTACATGATGCACATGAAGAGAAGAATTGAGGAAAGTTTTTGGATTTTTCAAAAAAATTTTCACCTCTCGTTTTTGAAACGCTAGGGGCACCGGATTATCCCCATGTAAGAGACAATGCCAAAATACGTTCTAGAAAATTCCTAGTAAAGGAAAAGCACAAGTAGGTGCAGAGCAAAAAATCCGACAAGGATTAAGAATTTGAGTGCTTTTAGAAAACTGACGTGAACTTGTTGCTCAATAGTGCACTTGCGGCATCAATTTTGCTGGTGGGTAGACCCTGCTCTCGTAAGCGCGTCGCAGATCTGGGCTTTTGGAGAAGCTTTTGAATTTCTTAGAAAAAAAAGTGTAACACAAATTATCCGACAACCTAATATCATTCACATGAAAAAATCGTGTTCCAAAGAAGTTATGCTCTTCAAATATTGTGATACTCAACATTTGCTTTATGAATTAAACGAATTAGCACTTGCGGTGTCATTGCGATGTCCAGTAAGAAAGGATTACTGAATTCTCTAAAAAGTGCAAAGCTCAGTAGTGCATTGTTGAAGAGATAATTAGCAATTTTTGTCCGCATCAACATTGAATACGCTTTTAGATTCTTTTACGCCGCTAATAATGCCTTCGATGCGCGTCTTTGAGAAAGCTTGTTTGCTTCGAAAATGGTCAGCTTATGCTAATGTTTTCGAGATCCCTGTCATACGAGAACGCTGCTTATCCCATGTTTATCTTGAGATCAAGTGCTTACAGCGAAAAGGTTACGATAGTCATATGTGGATTCAGGAGCCCGCTATCGCTGATTGTGATGGCAATATTTTGAGCAATTCCGTAACCAAACCTCTCTTCTCTTAAAACATATAGTCGTTAAGTGACTGGTAGCAATACTTTCATGGAGAATTCCTTAAGCTCGGTCATGATTTCATTACAGCGCTGAACCAACAAACCAAACAAGGCATAGCTTTGAATAGCGTTTGTTTTAGATCATTTTCCAACATAGAAAGAATACTTGGCGACTTTGACCACTATGAGACACATACTAAATACATCTAAACGTTGTATAAATCCGCTTTCGCTATCTGGAGAATTGTCTGAGACAAATAATGAGATTTTTCCCCGCAAGATTTCTACACACTAAAGCATACTCAGAACGCTGCTTTGTTTTGGAACAAGGGGGGGGGTGGAGGACGAAAGAGAGTGAGTAAAGGTAGTAATAGTGCGCAAGTGAGTTAGGTTTCTGACCAAAATTGCGCTCTTCTAGAAATGTTGATACAACGAGCGAAACTAGAAATTTGAGCATGTTCACTTCACCTAAGCGACACAGTTCAAATTTTGTGGAAAAGACGTTATAACTGATTTCCGGCAATCGCTTAGCAGATAGTGAAAGCAGATTTGTAATCAGCGTCTAGTGACGCATCTTACTTAGATACTTGGATGGCCCGTCCACACATGACGTGCGGGCCCCTGTGCAGAAGTTGCCATTGTTTCCTGTCCCTCACTTTAGACTTCCACGATTCTTGGTCGTCGTCGGTGGCTGCGTCCACGAGTTCCAGGTGCGATAATCGTATCCAGCCGATTTTTCAGCTGGTCCATCCGTCCCACGAACACGTCTGTCCATATCGTCGGTGGTCTTCCTCGGGGACGTTTGGTTCGCGAGGAATCCACTCAGATGTTCTTAGTGTCCATCTCTCGTCTGTTCTTCTCATTATGTGACCGGTCCATCGGCGATTGGCTTTCGCCACGTATTCCGCTGGGTCACGAAGACGAGACATTCTTCTCATATCCGTACGTACTGCGAAATCCAACTAGATGTTGCTTGTGTCGGGTCATCTTCGGAAGACTGCGCTCGAGCGCTCTGTGGGTGGTCCGTAAGGCTTTCGACGTGGCTACTGTGTCACCCCAAGTTTCAGCTGCGTAACAGAGCGCCGGGAGAACGGTTGAGTCGAACAGGTGGGCACGAAGCTCCGGGTCCGACAATTGGTCAGTGGCTTCCTTCAGAGGCCCGAAGGCGGCCCAGGCTGCTTTTCTTCTCTATTGTGTTCTTCCCTCAAGTCGTTCTCCATGTTCATCGAACGTCCGAAATACACGTAAGAAGGCGTCTCCATAATAGGGGTGCCTTCCAATTCCATTTCTGCATCTTCGCAAAAGGCGTTCCTCATGAACTGAGTCTTCTTCCAATTTATTCGCAATCTTTTCTTCCCTACTTCGTTCAGTTCCTTCAGCATCGTCTCTGCTTCAGTGATACTTCTCGAGAAGAGAACGATGTGTCCGCAAAACGAAGGTTTCACCGGAATTTCCCATCATCTCGTATGCCTCTCTCGTCCCAGTCCGTCACCCACTGCAACTCCGCGGTGAACAGCTTCGGCGGGATTGTGCTGCTTTTGGGACCCCCTTCCCAACTGGAATGATCAGGATGGAATAGCGATGAAATAGCTGCATCGTCGTTGTACAGTCCTTGTAGCAGTCGGTTAACGTCCTCATGTAAGTTGGGTCCACTCCTTGATCGACTAGCGCAGACAGGATGGCGCTAGTTTCGATGCTATCAAAGGTCAGTCGGTACGGTCGGTTTGGGTTTGGCAAACTTTAGCAAAGTGATGGAAGTTGATTTAAGGAAATTGGCAATTAAGCCTAAGGGTTGATGGTGCTGAGTTCTCTAAGCCGCTACACCTTGGGTTTCTCATCATGAACCGCAGGCATAAGTTGAATGTGCAGGTTACCTTTAAGTGGAACTTCGGAAGTATACCCACTGGAAGAAGGTGATTGTGTGGAGAAGCAATCAGCAATCATCGAGCGGGCAATTTTGTGCAGTTCTTAGTCCACAGCCTTTGATTGTTCTTACCACAATTCTTATTCAGCATTTCTAACAGCAAAAAAGTGCAAAAATGTGACATTAGCATTGAGGAAAATGATAAGCTGAAGCAGAGGTGCGATAGTCGGAGCCGATTCTCCGCCTACCTTCACTTTTGAGCTGGTACAGGGTGACCACCTTCACTTTTCGGCTTGAAAAAGTTTTTTTGCTGAAGCTCAAAAGAAGGAAAATAAGCAAAAGGAATGTAAAAGAAAGTATTAAGAGCATATATCTATGTAGTAGGTCGATCCAGGCAGTAACCGCCGAGAACCAGAATTTCGAATGATAAAATAATAAAAAATCGTGAAAAATCATTTCACTGTTACAAATCTGCTGGCTGAAGACCTCCGCAGTTGCGACTTCATAGGTTTTGAAGGGTAAGTGTTGTTCTACCAGACAGTGAAAAAATCAGATTGATTTGAGGAGTGGCCGCCGAGAACGAGAATTTTGAAAAACCTTAAAAATCTGCTCAATTTTAGGTTGTTTAATGACAACTGACATTTAAACTATCATAAATCCGGACTTTGAAGGTGTGTGATGTTGCGACTTCATAGGTTTTGTAAAGTGAGGTTTGCCTTATCAGAACATGTCTTAGCTGTACCGATCCATTGAAACGTCGCCGAGATCCAGGCTCCTAAAGAAGCGGGTAAAAAACCGTTTTTCAGCTCATAACTTCTTCAGAATTGCATGAATCATGTTGCGACTTCATAGGTTGGATTCTCCTCATCAAGAGCTTTCAGATGATATATAATATGTGGGGGGTTCACGCCTTCCACGGCATATGCCCGGGGGTGGAGTACCTCTCTTCACTAATTCTCCACTGGCGGCCTCCCGCCAATACATTGAAATGGGCGGGGTGGAGAATTAGTGAAGAGAGGTACTCCACCCCCGGGCATATGCCGTGGAAGGCGTGAACCCCCCACATATTATATATCATCTGAAAGCTCTTGATGAGGAGAATCCAACCTATGAAGTCGCAACATGATTCATGCAATTCTGAAGAAGTTATGAGCTGAAAAACGGTTTTTTACCCGCTTCTTTAGGA